AAAAAAAGATAATTGTTAAAGTATGATTTTTTTATTAAAATAATAATTGATAATGTTTAACTTCAATTTTAAAAAACTATGAATTTGATTAAATAAGAATTAAAAATAACTAAGCAAGATGAAAAAAAAAGTATAAAATAAAAATTATTTGATTATTAGACTAACAACTAATAAAACTTATATATTAAAAAAATCAAAAGGTAAATTTTTTTTTTTAAATGAACAGTTTACATTTATATCTATCTATTTATATCTATATATTATAGAAAATTTTATACTCAAATATTAATTAGGCACTAAAATTTGTCATTTTTATTTTACTTATAAAAAACATATTTTATTAAAAGTTAAAAAGAAAATAAAGTATTTTTATATTTAAAATATAATAAATATATGTACTAATAATATTTGTTTTACCTTCTTATCTTCTTATCTTCTTCTCTTCCACTTCCACTTCTCTTCTTTATAGTCTCAATTATCTTACTATTATTCACTTTCATTACATATTTAATGAATGAATTAAATCAAAGAAAGATAAATAGATGTTTGATTTTTATGAGGAATAAAAACATATGATTATAATTTTATTTATTTTCATTTATAACACTATTATATCACTTTTGTTCATTATTTATTTTTATTATTTTTAATTTTTTTCACCTCGTGCATTTTTTTTTGTTAGAAAAAAATGTGAACGAGGAAGTTAAATCTTAAACAGCTTGACAAAGAAGAAGATTTTTGCATGAATTGTTTAATTTTATTTCATGTAAAATTTTTTATCAAAAATATTTTTTAAAAAATAATAGAATATGTATATATATGTATTTATTTTGAACGTAGACGTACAAAAAAATGTTATAATGATGATGCAAAATAAGCCATTTGATGAATAAATTAGAAATATGAATAATTTAAGAAATATCCATATTAATTCATTAATATTTATAAATGTCAAAATCAATAAAAAAATTATGATTCTTTTTTATTTATTTATTTTAGCTTACATATATATGCTTTATTTTTATTTTTCTTCACACATATTTTTGAAACTGCTATTTAATAATAATAATAATAATAATAATAATAATTATTATTATTATTATTATTATTATAACAACAACAACATCAACAATAATAAAAATTAATGTATAAGTATGATCTTGTACAATGCACATACAACACATAGGTATTTAATTCTGTTTAACTATATTATAGTTTTTTAATTGAGAGAAAAGAAAATATTATTTGAATTTTTAAATAGAATAACAGTAGAGAAAAAGAACAAATATATGAGATAAGAATTAATATTAAGTGTTTTTTAAAATTCTCTTAATATTCTTTTTTTAATATGATTACATATACTTTTTTTTTTAAAAATACTCCTATTAATTATTAAACACAATTTTTAACTCAACTTTAATTATTTAATTAAAAATTTTTAATTAAAAATCATTATAAGAATTAAGAGTTGATAAAAAAAATAAAAAATCTAAACTCTAATATATATAAAAAAAAAAACCGTTGCAACAAAAACTAGTTTTAGTCATGTTATCACAAGAATTTAGTTGAGTTAATCTCATTAAATTAAAAATCTTAATTTAATATCAAAATAAGAAATTTAAATCTTATAAAGTAGCTAATGCTTGATGAACTGAACAGAAAAAGTTATATCCATATTGGTCCTCATAAATTGCATATAAATGCCCCTTCAACAACGGTCTTTGGCATTTTAATCTAGTCTAGAAATTAAACTAGCTTGCTTTATGCGTGGCCGGCTGGTCCACACGAAAAAGGCAAATCATAAACATTTTGAATATTGACTTTTGAGGTTTTAGCCTCTCTTATACGCTTTACCACATGTATAAACATGTTTTCTTTTCATTCTCCTTCTATTTCTCTCTTCCTTTTTTTTTTTTTTTAATCATCGATAAGTAGAAGACGACTGCTACCGCCACGGCATTTCTTCAATATTTCACAGTGCACGTTTATGAATATTGGACCATTAATACATTGGAAAATCAGAGAAACAAATCGTCGGCTGCGTTACTTGCGTAATAGAAAATCAGCAGACGACTGCTGCCACTTCAATACAAATTAGCGCGCGCGTCTAGTATGAATGGACCGTTAATACAATGAAAAATCAGAGATGTAAATCGTTGGCTGGATAATAGAAAATAATTTGCCCTCTAAGTTGTGCATTCTGAATATAACAAATGTGTATAAGTATATAATAAATCTTTTCTTTTTCTTTTTCTTTTTTTTCTTAGATGTTGATCTCAAAACTTAAATTCTGAATTTACTCTATAAGATGATACTTACTTACCAGATCCTAAACCATTTTATAAAATAAAAAAATGAAAATAAAAAATTAATCCACTTTTTATCATATTTTTTAAAATTTAATTATTTTATTTAAAAAATTATTATAAATTTTAATAATTAATAATAAAGAGATAAATAATT